ACACACATGTACATGTAGCACACACTGATTGTTATTGCACCAGTCATTTCATTGTCATTTTCTCTATTTGATACTGAGTAATGTAAATTTAACATCCCATCAAAACAAGCAAGAGCAATTAAATGAACCACAGCTCCCATACATGTACATGTATGTTGTAAAACAAAACAAACCATGTACATGTATGTATGTACATAATTTGTATCTTGAAAGTCCGAGCTTGTGTGGTCTTTTCCTACATGTACTGTACATGTACCTCTGTTCACTTGTACATGTACCTACATGTATGTACATGTACCTGTACATTTATGGGTACTACTTTGCGGTTTAGAATCTGTCAGTTGTTAATGGGGTACATGCAGCCAATACCAGCTTGTGGTCGCTGCTGGTGTGAGCTGAAGTGATACATCTTGTTGACTTATATAATCATGGACTATGTTTACTTAGCATTTTTATCTAAACATGACATGTTGTTAAAATGGTTGCTCACCACATTGGTCCCAACTAACCCAGTGTTGTTTTAATATTATGAGTTGATCCCAAAGTGGTTTATTTCTGTTTTTCTAGTGGTCATAAAGAACTTCTGCTGATTTACATAACGTGCTAGATCTTGACATGTACAGAACTAAAGTACATTGCCAGACATTCGTCTTGTTCTGCCTTTCAAACACAAAAACTGTTTGCAAAAGACATCACCTGATTTTGGCAGAAATAAAATGACATTTATGTGTAAGGTATTGAATCAGTATTTTGTCATGTATGGATGTTTGGATTTGATTTTGTTTAGGATGTATTCATTAAACTGTTTTCAGATCGAGTTACAGACATTTGAGTGTGATGAAAGTAATTCATTTTGTATCAGGGTTTACAAAGCAGTAAATGTGTTCATGGAAGGATTTACTCTCTGCCCGAACTACATTGAAGATATTAAATTTTAGGGTTAATTGTACGGAAAGAAAATTCAAGAAAAATGTTGCGGCTCATTGATTTGTATAATTTTAGAGGGATCTGGATAGTGATTAAAGAAAATCAATGAGTCACAAGCTGAAATTCAGTGTTGCAATGCCAGGTGACATGTTTTTCATGGCGGAATTAAAGATGCAGCACAGTGATTGCTCCTGCGGCGTTAACCAAGGGATTTTACTGCTGTCGTTTGCTCAAAATGATGTCAAAAGCCTTGGTTACACCAATGAGTTTTTTAAAACGTTTCCAATCCCTGCTCCATTTCAACACACCGGCAGCGGAACCAGGGGGGCTGTTGCCCTCCCACCTTTGAAAAGGTAGTTACATTGCTCCCCACTTTATAGCCCTACCAGCCATTGGGGGTGCAATGCAACTCCCCCCTTAAATAAACAACCTGGATCCGCCCCTTTTTAGACTCCCCTCCCTTCCACTTTTGAAACCATTTCTTTGACAATCGTTCAAGGACCAACGAAAGAAATCGAAGGATATGGCTGATAAAATGCGAACCACAAAATGGTACAAATCACACACCATGCACAATACACAACGGTGCGTAACCTGTGTGCGACAGTAGCTACGTTGGCAGCGTGGTGGACTACCGTGCTCATTTACAAATGAAAGCCCATCACAGAGAACCTGTTACAGACACTCTGGGTCAAATGCACTGACCAAAACAAAAAAATGGTTTAGCTAAAACCGTTCAGACACCATGCTAAATTTTAAAAGTTTTGGTTTAGTGCTAAACCCTCCTTCCAAGCTGGTTTAAATTACTGTTTTAACTGCAAGATAAAATGTATTTGATGCAACTTTTCAAGCACACAGACTGTTTAGCAGTAAAGTTACACCAAAAAGTTACTCTGAATTGAGTTAAACCACTGTTATAAGGGAATTTAAAATGGTGGGCAGTCTTAGCATGCATCGCGTATGTAACGTGTAAGAGCAGGACATTACACTGTTGTGTACCCTGTGCAGATATGCTGAGATTTCTTTCAATTTCAATTTCATTGATTTAATATCATTCGTATCCAACATAGTTATTGAAATACATTGAAATTTAATGTGGTTTTGCGAGCGTTAAAAACTTGACAAATCAAAATATATGTACAGAACAATAATAAACGACACTACAAAAATTCACACCAGAATTACAACAAATAATTTCAGACAGCATATCAGGTAAAATAACGATTGATTAAATAAAATGGGATTAAGATAACAATAAAATCTGATGGATCACTGATTAGGACTTTGATTGCACCTGTACATGTACGTTCAATAAGAGAACTGCACTTGGAAAAAACTGTTCAAGGTTCGAGTCGAATCTGCACGAATTGATCTGTAAAGTTTATCTGATCTCATCCACTGAAATAAGTCATTTGCAGGATAGAATCCATCTGAAACGATTGAGGTGCACTTCTTTGAGATTGCCTCATTAAGTCCTTCCATTGCAGGTAGTTCACAGCCAATTATAGTGCTGGAGGCATTTCCAGTCTTCCACCGTGGTGTTCCCTTACCAGACAACGATTGAGAATGTCAGGACACTCTCAACCACTGCCCAGTAGAACTTCACCAGCAGACCTTGGCTGACCCCTAAACTCCTCAGTGTTCTGAGACAAAACAGACATTGTTGGGCTTTCCTTATCAAGAAATCAACATGGGTTGTCTATTTCAGATCGCGAGTCATATAAACGCCTAAAAATCTAAAGGAGTCAACCCTTGCTACCTCAAATCTATCAATACCACGTCGTCCGGTGCTAGTCTTAGCTTAGGCTTATATCCCGTGATGTTACTAAAGCCTCTCCATAGGTTTTTGGGGTTGGTGACAGGAATGTCATTCCTCCAGTTTATCGCAGTACCTTAACTTTGCATCTCGGATTGATGTACATGTACATTTATGTACATGTACGTGATGTATGTCGTTCTCTGTTATTCATTGGGCATTTTCATTATATGACATGCATTTATGCTGGCTAATCGTAATGTATTACAGATTGCACAAGTTTGCACACGTAACCTTGTAGTCCCGTACATGTGAGATGACACGCTTGCATAACTTTCTGCTGGGAATTATTTTCTACCGGGACATTTTCTTTTAGGAGGAACAAACATCCTGACATCAGAACAAAACATTTCTCTTCTTAAGTAAGATTTGAAGCTTTGCATGGTGGATGAAACATGAGAAATGAGTTTGTAGGTGCACCATGGAATCAATCTCTTTTGGACGAGGTGTGGTACTCGCCGGTTCTTTTAAGAACCACACCTCGTCCAAAAAGAGATTGATTCCATGGTGTACCAGCAAACCCATTTCTCATTTCTCTTCTTATTGTATTGGTCTTCCTTATCGAGGAATCACGCCCCTCCACACGTGGGCTGACAGCTCGTGTACCCCATGACCAACTTCACACCTGGCTCCATTACAATTGCATTTGCTTCAATGCTTCATCTTGTCTTTCACTGTAATAATTGCATGGGCATGTAGTCCAGTCACGGTACATCATGGAAAAATAAACAGCTGTGAAAACAGTACTGCACAGGCATGTATGTACATGTTTTATTTGTCATTTACTGATCGATTATGGCCACATTGTTGATATTTGTTTGGGGTCTCGGTACTTGATAAAACAAATGAAATACTAAATCAGTGGTACATTAATGGATTAGCAAGAGCTGAAAGGTCCACTTGAAGTCTGTTGACACTGTGTTACCATATGAATGCCACATACTGTATGCTCTGTATCTGAAATAACAGGTAATTGCCACACGATCTACATGCATTTCACCAGTCAGGTGATGGATTAACACATGTGCGTGTACTTAGATCAACTGGTAGTACATGTACACAAATAATGAATGTTGAGTGACATGACTTATTTCGCTCAGCCCAAACACTGAAAGTTACAGCACTAATGGATTCATAACAGTTCAAACAATAACTGGTGATTAAAAATGGGAATAATCACAGGGTTTATAATTAAGAGTAATCATGGATCTAGGTTTTGGAACAGGAGATTTGTTGCTCACCATCCTTAGCCAGCCCCACACTTTCTGTTTCCCGCAGTTGCTCAGTTGGTTCACGGCAGGCTCTTGGTGGTGCCCTTCATTATTACTTAAATCACATCAGGTAGTAGCAAGACAGAGATGTTGAAACTCAGTATACCTGTATTCACTGATTTTCTCAGTTAACCCCTACCATCAGTATTATTTTGGGCTTCAAGTCCTACCTTTCAAAAAAAGGCTAAAATTGGATGGCCAATTTTTCAAATTCTGTCAAATACCACCAGAACTGGTACATGTACATTGTACTGTCTTGAGAGTCACTCACTGTTACATGTATGTTGAGTGTCATTCACATAATATTTACACTCTGTTTTTCTTACAGTGACCATAAAATGTTCATCATTCCAAGTCCATTAAGGCCTCGCCATCCATTTTGATATTTGCCACAGTAGCCTGTTCAAGTTCAAGCCAAACAGTCCGCCTTCATTACCAAATTCAATGTGTGTGTGGGTACAAAGAGTTGCAGATGATTTGAGTTATGGCGTGGCAAAAAGCACAATTACAATCTTCTCTCTTTAGTTCAAGATTTGCTCAAGAACACGTACCGGTACATGCATTAACAGATGCTTGACTTAAAATTCCTCATGCAGAATTGATAATTTGTTGTAAGAGGTATAATTTTAATGGTAGTGATGTGATAGCAAACAACAGCAACTACATGTAAATATAACACTAACTGGTAGCTGTTATTGCGCAATGCCATAAGCTTGGCTACAATCCAAAGCATACAGCGAGAAATGCACTGTACATCTATTCAAAACTTATTAGTGGCTGCATAAATGTACATTTAGCAAGTATATCCTTTGAATATTTTGAGCCAGTTTTGTAACTGTAGATCCTATCTGGACAAATATTAGATACTGGTACATGTACCAGGTACTTGTGACAGTTTCAATGTCAACCTTATTTTCTTTACTTTTTATAAAGTAATTCTGTAAAGTTCTAAGCAGTGGTAATGTATTTTCTAAATTCTACTCTAGACCAGAAAAGTGCCCAGTCTGCGAAGAAACGTTTGAACCTGATGAACACTTTGTCAAGGACAAACGAGCAGCAAAAGATATGAAAAGATCCACAGCAAAGTGCTGCACCTGTGGGCGTGAGATGGCCATGTCAGCCTTGAGGGAACACCAGGAGGAATGTGGTGGAGTGGAAAGCCTACCCCAACAGGTTAGACACATTGTCACTGCTCAGAGCAAAGAAAATTTGGATTTTTCAATAAAATAATAAAAGTAGCATTTTTTCCCTTTGAAACCGTGTTCCCTGTCTGATGTCATGCTTGAGTTGGCAAGTGATGGATTACCACCTAAACAAGTGTAATACACGGAAATGAACTAACTTGTAAGAGGTTTGAATGAACTGATTGACTCACCTGTTAAACTCACTCTCCCCCCTACACATAAACCCACACCCACCTATGCATTGAAATTTTGTGTATGCACGTGACTTGGTTTTCTGCACAAATCAGGTAGAGGCACCAAATCAAGTTTTCAGGGTTGATTTTTTTGTAACTTGGCTCCAATGGTATTGACTAGGCCTATTAATGTCAACACAACTTTAGTGGGGAGTGTGGAGGATGAAGCCACAGTGAACCTAATGTAGACAGACAACTGAATAGTGCAGGAAGGTCAAGAGCTACATGTATTCAAGAGGGTTACCGGATGAGTGATTTCATCCAGCATCGCATACATACCCATCTTTTTTTTTCCATTTAATTATCAGCCTACAAATACAACATGATTTGAGGGGAAGAAGTTGGAATTACTGGTCCCCAGGTGCAGGTCAGCTTGACTACCTCTGGACGCTTCACTATTTCACTGCTAAATTTGTTTTACTATACCTCATATATTATAATCAATCAAATGTTCAATTCTGCAGGTTCGGACCGAGAAACCTCTTCAAAATCCACCTTTTTGTCTTGACAGTATTTTTTCCAGGAGCCTCACTGCCTTGTCAATAACTGCCCTCGTAGATTTTGCATCTTTATTCAGCATAATAAGTTCAAGTTCATATTCAGATAATTATTAATAAAGACAGAAATCTAATGTTACTTGCACTCACAGACGCCATTGTTGTTTCTCAGCTGCTAAATTTCCTTGTAATGATAGTCGAGTGCAGATGTGCATAGCAACAGGGCTTCAATAGTCTGGTGCTGACATATGTTTTGGGTCTTTACTGTAAAAGTTATGAGGATACAACTCCGGACTGGTTCCATAAAGGTTGCATGACATACACTACATATTTACGTGGCGGGTTCCAGAGGGATTTTTTGGTGCTACCAGAAAAAAATACTGCACAGCAGCAAGGTGGATACTCAGCAGTATGACGTCACCTGGTTGCGTATCATTTCTACTTCCAAGACACAAGGGGGAATCGGCCTATGATGCACTCTGATTTACTCATGAGTATTTATGATGTGTAGTAACACTATCTCCTTGCTTTCATCAGTTTCAAAAGCACATTTTTTTCATTTCAAAAATTACATACTGTAGTTCAATTTTTTTATTTTAAAGTTCACTTCTGCAGTTGTGAACTCTTTTGTTACCTTGAAGATTTTTTCAGAATTAAAATGATATTTGTAATTTTTATTGCCATCAAAAATTCAGTTGAGTTCTCAGATTGCCATTATTTGCCTTGTTTATGCTGTCATAAATTTTAAAAAATCATTTACGTGACAGTCTCTGCCCTATTTCCTTTGACATGCACATGCACCATATGTGTGATAGTGTCAGTAGTGTCAATTTTTAATGGAGTGATGCAGACTTTTTTATGCTGAGGTTAATTAAGTGCATCAGAACATGTACAATACATGAACAGCTGTGCAGTTTTCATGGTTACCATGTGCTATGCATATGTGCTCTATCTGTTGGCTAATTCATTGAATATCATCAGGTGTATCACAGGATTAAATTACAGCTCTTGAAATCTGTTTCAATAATGCTCATGAAGTTTTTCCTACTGATATGAAAATATACATGTGCTTTCATTGAAAGCCAACAATAATTTGTACTTGGCACTGTTGTTTATGGACTGTATACGGAATGTTTGCAAAAGGTACATGTATATTTTCATGGGCAGAACCTTGAATGAATTTTTATGGCAAGTCATTGAGCTCAACCAAAATATCCTTAAAAGTACATGTACATATACCTCCAAATGATAAGAGATTTGGTGGAGAGTAATCCTCGGTAGACCCACTGTGAATAAAAATATGGCTGTTTTTGTTGAAGTTTTGTCCATAATTTTATCTTTCAGAGATGGAAATATTCATCAGCAAAGAGGCCAGTAGGCTTATTGATTGAGAATTTTTACTTGGCTTGTGCATGTGCAAAGACTTATTGCATGTACAATGCACAGTGCATCCTACACTCCTAAGCATGCATAAACCCTTGCAAGTAGTGATGTTTCCTAACTACAGGTGCCAATTGTGTCTATAAGCATGTCAAAATTGTTCCTGTACGGAGTGGACAGCCAGACCTCTGCCTTTTCAATGTGTGACTGCAGAAATTGGGCTTTCCATTCTTTTGAATGCTAGAGATATTCATGTCGTCGTTGTGTACGGTGAACATGGAGATTTTTTTTTCCGTTTGTTGCAGATAGATGAACGTGGCCCACCTGAGGATCACTGCCCAACTCAGGTTAGTTATTAGTGCCATAAGTTAAGCCTTTACAAGTATATTACAATTTGATTGGAAGTAGAAGTAAAAGTTGAAGATTTTGTGCTCAGAGATATTCTTTTCTTGCTGCAGATGCATGTAGATGAACAAGACCCACCTGAGGATCCAGCCCAGGTTAGTTATTTGTGCTCTCAATTAAACCTTTAAAAGTATATTCGTTAGAATTTGGAAGTATAATTTAAAGTTGAAGAGTTAAAACCATGTAGTGTCATTTGATTCAGTTTGGGAGTTATTCAGTAAGTAATCTCACACGTACTTTCTGTGGACTTTAAATTTTGATTCAAAATATGTAAATATGTTTGAAATCCTGAAACTGTGGTTCCTGGGAAATAACATAAGAGAAGAGAAAGGGCCAGCAAAGATCAAGTGTCAGGCATTAGTCTTTTTATTTGTATAGGGCCTCAGCACTGTTGCCAGCACCTTGTCCCTTTCATGTGCATGGACATAGGTATACATGTATATGGGCATTATTCACTAGGAGTTTGAGCACATGCCAGCAATGACATTTTTATAAAGTCTTTCAACAATGCTTAGCATAAGTGATCTCCTTGTGAAACAAACTGGATACCTCATTGCTAGTTGAACCACACATTCATCAGCAAAGAGACCGGTAGGCTGGTTGAGGTTTTACTTTGCTTGTGCATGTGCAAAGACAACAATTGCTCGCGTAGTGCATCCTACACCAAGTATGCAAAACCCTTCGCAAGTAGGGATATTTCCTGACTTAGTAAGGGTCCATTTCTGTCTAGGCATGTCATACATGTGTATCTTGTTCCTGTACAGAGTGGATAGCCTTACATCTGCCTTTTGAATGTGTGATTGCAGAAATTGGGCCTTCCATTCTTCAACAGGCCTGAGAATTTTATGCTGGTGTTGTAAAATGTACATGGAGATATTTTTTTTTTCTTGCTGCAGATGCATGCAGATGAACATGACCCACCTGAGGATCCAGCCCAGGTTAGTTATTAGTGCTGTCAGTTAAACCTTTAAAAGTATATTCATTAGAATTTGGAAGTATAATTTAAAGTTGAAGATTTAAAACCTTGTAGTGTCATTTGATTCAGTTTATGAGTTATTCAGTAAGCAATCTCACACACACCTTCTGTGGACTTTAAATTTTGATTCAAAATATGTAAATATGTTTGAAATCCTGAAACTGTGGTTCCTAGGAAATAACATAAGAGAAGAGAAAGGGCCAGCAAGGATCAAGTGTCAGGTATTTGTTTTTTATTTGTATATCTCTGGACTGTTGTCAGCAAGCAGTTAGTGTTTTTCTTTACTCTAAAAATAAAAAAGGGTGTATTGTTAATTTTACATCCTGTCTTGGGAGGCCCCAGGAGGATTTTGAATTGGGCTGTATCTTGAAATTTGAACTATTTGTTCAGGTGTTAAGCTGCTAAGGCGGGTTTCATGCCACCTCTCCACCTTTTGTACCTTCCTTTATTGACAATCAAATCCCTGCACAGATCTGGCTTCTTCTGTATAGAATTCTTGAGAGGGAGGGTTAAAGAACTTGACACCTTTTCTACTAGCACTTGTCCATTCTTGCTTGAATTATGAGTGCCCTTGAAAGCTGCACATACTGCAAACCTTGGGAAACCTCCATGTTGTTGAAGGCGAATGGTTTTTGCTGAGAGTATAACCACATGCCAGCAATGACATTTTTTAGAGTCGTCCAACAATGCTTGGCACAAGTGATCTTGTGAAAGAAACCAACTCTGGATACCTCATTGCCAGTTGCATCAGAGCTGCACAAATGAGTTAAGGTACATATACATGTTGGATCCCAATCCCTCCACCAGAATGTGCAGAGGGTACCAGTCTAATCTCTTCCATCATTCAAGAACTCTTTACAATGTACATGTATGGTCCATGGAGTGGTACTGCTAGAATGACTTCCGCTTGCCAAAGGCCTATCTGGAATTTTTTCCATGAAGATCAGTGACTTAGACTTTCTGATCATGTGTTGTTTGTTGCAGGAGGAAGGGAAGGGAAGCAATGAACCCATCATCAGCTGCCTGTACAAGATGTTTGGATGTGATTTTCAGGTCAGTTTACAGCATGGTATCAGAATTACAGCCAAGTTTCCCTGTTCCAGATTGCAAAAATGATTCAGTCTGAATGCAGCTGAGATAATCCTCAAACTCCTGTGAAAACGATGTGAACAGTATTCCACCTTGTGTGCAGGAGACAGAACAAACTTATTTTCATGATTTCAACTTTTAATTCGGACTTGCGGGATTGATAAAAGTAATAACACTTTTCCTTGTTCTGGATCAGTTTTAACCAGTCCATTATGCAATATGCAGTATCTGATGTGCATGTATCGTTGCGTTTGCCATGGACGTGTATGTATGTGCATGCATTTGCATGCACAATCCGAAACATGGACAAATATATGTCAATTTCGGCAAATTTATAAAAAGGACACTCAAAAAATAATTTCTTAGTGCAAGAGTTTATATGATTGTTGATTCACACGTAGTGAGGATTGTCCCTGTTAATTTCTTTGCTGATTTTTTGGCTCCTGGGATTGATTTAAGTTTGATAAACTGCCTGAACATGTCGAAGTGAAAGAGTCGGAAATCTGTCCAATATTCCTTTATAAGAATTTTTCTGGACATTTTTTGAATAAATTTTCTGAATATGAAAATGTGTATGATTTGTAAAAATTTGTAAAAAAAATTCCATTCCACCTTACAAAACTGAACTCATCTGAAAATGTGTCAGACAACAATAAGTACAAACAAGGCAGGCCTAACTTTTCTTTTCAAGCGATCCGGAGCTGGGAAAAACCCGGAGTTCGGAGAACATCTGTATTATTAACAAGTGATATGATCAAAAGCTGTGTCTTTTTATTGTTGTTGAAAATACAACAGCGTCTTAGATTCCTGTTTACCCACCAATTGGTTTGGAATAGACTCTGTACCAAAACATTTTACATACATGCATGGAATTTCTTTGGATATGTCTGTTGAGGTATGCACTAGAAGTACTTTATTATGTGGCCTGTTTCCCTTTGTGTGTAAAGGAAAACTTCACCACAAATTGCCAATTGATCAAAAGTCCTGAATGTTTGACTAGGTGGCACCATTTTCCCTGATTAGTTCTTTGGTATGTACATACATAAATAGAGGTGGGACACCCGTTTGCTGAATTCATCCAACAATGTTCAACTTATCCACTTGAGTGCTTTTGATGGAGCTGTATTCTAATTCTAATAAGGAGAGGTTTGAAATATTTCATAAAATGATTGATATTGAATTCTGGCTGGTCTTTCTCAGACTACAGAGTACTGGTAATTGTTAACCTTTTCAACAAAAGGTTCCTGTCACGAGACCCAATCAATAAAGCCCTGACAAAATATGGACAAGGCCTAAAATTTCTTAAATCTTTTCCGTCATCAAATTTTTGAACAGCACTGACAGGAAAGCATTGATGGATTTGTATTTGGTGGTAACCCAGTGTTATATCCAGAGCTGAATTGCTTAGGGGAGTGCAAATATTTGTAGGTCATGCTGTCAACTACTCTCATAGTGGGATGTTTTGTGCTTAAGTTACAATCACATGGAGGGCTGGATAAAGGCACCTACTGTGGCGCAACTGTCATTCTGTTTGTTGACAGAAACGTACATAATAGGCCTCTCCTGTGGTGTAGTAGGACTGAAAAGAGGATACTTCAGGGTAAATGTATCACATCATTCAAGCAGTTTGGGTTAGAATTGTAATCCTGTAATAATAAAAAATTAATAGCTTGCCCTTGTAGGTTTCCATCAAACAAGATTTTAATGGATAATGTATTGATTTCAGTCAAGGCCTTGTAAAGAGCAGTTTTTACATGGCAATGGATGTGAAAACAGCTCTGCTCTTATGGAAGCTGCTACTAAGTACATGTAGCACTCCTGTTTATTTTTGGTGTGTCCTTTGCCAGCAGAACCTCATAGACAAATCAAAAGAACAAAAGGTCACACCTGTGTTTGGATACAACTTCAGGCCCACCCACAGTATTGAGTACAAGTAAGGAATTTTGACAAAAGTTCATCACTGGTTCTTTCTGGCACCCAGTAACCCACACTTCTCACCATACTAGCCCTGTAGGTAGTCCTCCCCCCCAAAAAATGAAATACATGAGGGAAGTGGGAATCTGACTGAAATATCTTTAAAGATGGAGATTACATAGGTATGCAAGAAATACTCAGATACATGTATCTGTGAGTAAACTTGGAATTATCAGTTTGAGGACCTTTCTGGCATAATTTCGCAATGGAACTTGTTTCAGTTCCATAATCAAAAGTATTTATGCAGAACATGCATCTCCTCTTTTTTTTTGTTGTGTTGCGAAGTTTGATTCCTGCTCTATCACCTTGTATTTTCATAATTATTTGTTGGACATGGAGAAGGACTTCACCAGAACACTGACACTTACCATCATCACTACCGTCCTCAGCACACTTATCATGCACTTGAACACATGTTGTCTCAGGGTTTCTGACATTGAGAGAGAGCTGAGAAGCAGGACCATGTGGTTTGGGGCTGTCTACGGTAGGGAACATTTCCAACTTTGAATGAGCATTTTGTGCATAATTTGTGCTGAAAGGTGTAGTTTTTTTTGGTCAATGTGAATTTGATAAATCTCGGGAAAAATGTAATGCATGCTTGTTGTCCGTACAGAAAAGCACGAAATACGACTACTAATTTAAAATAGGGTCGCTTGTGCTTGCGGGAATGCTTTGGAGATGCACAGTACAATCCTTTTCTACCTCTACCTCAGTTAGCCCATGTTTTCAATCGTACTATTGTCAGACAAAGTTTTTTTTTTCTTGTTTGTATGATTTAGAAATTAACACACTCAAAGGTGAAACTGGTGTCATCTCACGTGTATAACAGAAAAAGCTTTAGTGTTGCAGCTGCTCTCAGCCCTTTGTTAGTTTGCCTAAACAAAAAACTTTGTGTTGTCTTGTCAGTCATTAAGCCTTTTGTCAAAAAAAGCACATGTTAACTTTGTGGAGTTGTTAGATGGTACTGCATATCAATACTTGTGTAAAGCCTAAAACTGTCTAATAAAGTCTCTGCCTCTCTGCTCATAGACTTTTGTAAATGCTGACAGATAACCTTGAATGGGAGGGGGGTTAATGGGTTTTTGTGGGTTACCTGAATACCACTAAATGCTCTTTCACAAACCTTGTTGCCAAAAGGGAAGATGACTGAATGAGGGGTGTCAACTGTGAAATTGAAAATGGCCCAATAAAGGCAAATGCATGGTTGCTCCACTGTACTGTCAATCTTTTGATTTAAGGTTTGTAAGCATACCTTAGTGCAATTTGTACAGGGACAACCACAGTTTATTCCACATGCCAGCAAAGGACTCTGAGGCAGTCTCTCTAGGTTTCAGGTGTGCTTGGTCGTTTATTCTAAGTGCACTTTATCTTGGTCAACTGGTCTGGGTGCCCGGCAGAAGGGTGTAGCCTGCAGAAGGGTGTAAGCACACTAACGCCCTATCTCCGGGAAGCATGATCACAGCAGAAAAAATTTTCCTGGCAAAAAGGCGTAAGAAATACACTCTCTCTATTTAGTAAAAACAGATAAAATTTACTACAAAATCAACCTAGGCTGTACAAAATGCAACCTTTAAACAGTTTATTAGGGGACTTGGGCTTTTTTTTTTTTACTTTTTGCCAGGAAATCTTCATATTTCATTAAAATACAACAGTTGCATACTTCCGTCCTCTTGCCGCGAAAAGTTTTTTTGCAGCGCTTATGCCCTTCTGCCAGGCACACGACGAACTCATAAATCCGACGCCTCCTAAGCCCAAAAATTCGGACTTTTGAGGCGTCGGACTTAACGGTATGCACCCCTTTATTTCCTGCCACACTCCAACACACAACCGTCTCCATGGGAAACCCTTAATACCTCTTCGCCCAAAGGCAACCAATTCCCCTGGCTGAAAAGTGAGGGGTTCCACAGCTACAGCTCTGCTGTAGGTCCATGCCTCTACCAGCCAACCTCACACTGTCACCGTGCCAGTTGTTGTTCCCACTAAAAACCTCATTCAACATTTTGTGCTACCCAAGTCTACAGTATTCGGATAACACTTACAATTCTTTTAAAACTCCTAGTATTTGCACGTGTATGTTATGTGCAACATGAAGTTTTAACAACTTTTGGGACTGCAAATGTATTTTAATATGGCCGCATTTCTTATGTATTATTGTGAGTACCATACCATTGAGAATGAAAGTGTTAGGTTCCAGTCATACCTTGTTTTTATGTTTTATTGGTTCGCAAGACGAACAAACTTTGTGAACAGAAAGTGAAATTAAATGGAGAAAAATTATACGAAAAGGAAAAGGAAATAGTTAATGAAAACATTTTCTCTTGATAATTAGTGCTTTCAGATTAAAAAATCCATTGAGAGTATAAATAATAAAAACAAATGTTATTGGTCAACAAGTGTAAAGTATCACTGTTTAAATTGAAAAAAGCGACATTTTTAGCACAGTTCTTTATTCAGTGTCATGTTGATCTTTCAAAATAGTCATAAACCAGTAAAGGTGGTCCAGTCATGACAAAACTGACTTGTCTGGAGCCTGTGTCTGCTGGCCAATTCCAATACTAGTCTACATGCATGAGTGGCAATGATTACCTTTGTGTTAGGAGAGGATGACATGGAATAGAGTATAATGTATGCATATGACTCCCTAAAACCTCTCCGGCAAACTGCCTTTCATAATTCACTCTACTTATTAGTATCAACTGTAATGGGTCACAACCTCGTCACTTGGTCTACCATTTCTTCCTATTGAGAAGGGAGTTAATGAAATTTCACTTGGTATGCATGTAGGGGGTTTATGGCCCACTTGATATGAAATTATGGCCAATGTGTCAACATTTGCACAAGTTTTGTAAACAGGAACTGTCGAGGATAAATCCACCTTTTAAACAAGTGGTGAAGGGCCCCTGACTGCTGCCTCAATTGGGCAATGTTAGGGATTTGACCCAAAATAATCTGTTAGTGAATGTACAATTTTCATGATGTCAATCAGTGTAAATAGACTCAACCCACATGAACTTTGTGCCCCCCCCACTATTGAAACCATTCCCTCGCTGTTGCTGTCACATGTCGAATGTTTGGGAAGATGACCATCTGTTGAGCTTGAACATCGTCAGTAGGCTGTATACAGCCTTTTATAGCAAATATAAGCGGTGAGGCCATTTAGTTGTGGCAATTGTAAGGTCACAGTGAGAAAAACGGTGTACAAAGTACAAAAATGCCAGTGACTCTTGAGTAGTGAATGACTCTCAAGACAGTACTGGTGATACTTGGCTGTATTTAAAAAGTTGGCTGGGTATTTTTTTCAGTAAGAACTACTATGCCAATAACCTTCAACCCTTAACTTTCTTACAGTTTTGGCACACTGTCAACCCTTTTGCAACCCCGTCTACATTGTACCGTTCATTCAGAGTAATGTTAAACACCCTACCATCAGAGCCAGATATAAACAAAATTCTCTGGCATGTCAGGGAGCAGATGAGATATCACCTTAAACTTTGGTTAGCACCTTAGGGACAAATAAAATCAGGACCTACAATTTTCTTGTACACATGTATGTAGTATGCTAGTTTGCATTTTTTTGTCAACTATAAGTTTGGCTCTATATGTAGGACCTAAAGGAAAAAATGCACAACTAAGGGGCGCACACACACATACTGAATGAATTGGAAGGGAGATTGCGTAGTGGAGAATTTTCTATACATTTAGTGGAGAATCTTCTATACATGTAGTGGAGAATCTTCCATACATTTAAATTGATCATATTATGATATACATACTAAGATGGAAAGCTTGCGGTAAACACCATGCAATATCTCTTTTTGAGTCTGTGTGGTTCTGATAAGAACCGGAGAGGCTCAACGTTTTGGCCAGTCTCCTGACGACGGACAGA